GGGGAAGGAGAAGGGCACTATTTTTTATATAGGTATAGCACGCATATATACGGCGCTATACTATAGCGCGTTATATATGCGTGCTATACCCTCCCGCCCGTTTTTAGTTCAAATATAGCGCAGTTATCGACCGCGCTATACCTTAACGGAGAAAATATATATTATAATATAACATGAAAATTAGTTCCATAAAAGTTTGACTTTTATAGTAAATGATTGTTATATATCGATGTTGTTACGTTATATTGAGTTTTGACAGTATTGGACCATTATCATCAGTTAAGGCACCAAGTGCTTACTGTTTACGAAAAACTGAAATTATATCCTCTTGTGCTTTAGTAGAGATTGTTGCTCAGATTTTCGAGATATTCTGATTGAACTCTTTAGGTCTCGCGGTAATCGAATAGCCATTCTTGAATATTTTTAGATTCATGATTCTGGACATCCTAAATTCATTCTTGAATTTATTTTGGATTCATATTACAACTTAATTGAATCCCGAAGGTAATATTATCATTATTATGAATAATCTTCAAGAACTGCGTTCATGTGTCCCTAAACCTAGCAAATTTTATACTAGTTCTTTATGGGGTCGTTGGTTTAAAAATAAGTTATCCCATGATTAATTATCTCGGGATAACTATTCCGGAGTTAGTTACACGAGATTCTTATCCCATCATCCATAGAGATAAACACAATACTACTAATCCCGGAATTAGTTATATCGCGATTTTATCCCAACCAAACATGAGATAAAATTATCTCAAATTTAATTCCAAGATTAATTATCCTTTATCCCAAACCAAATGACCCCTTAGTTATGTCACAATAGGTAGTTTCCAAGCTGGCGTGTCATTTTATGAGGACTTGAGCACGATTGACATACTTTTGGAATACCCGAAGACTTTGATATACTGATTTTTCGAAGTAAACGTTTCCAAGTAAGACAAATTGCCAAAAATGCAACTGGCGTCTAGATTAATACAAGATTCACATTTGTATGACTCATGGATCTCGTCAAGGCAAGCTTAACTTTTCTAAAACAAGTTTTAACAAATAAAAAAGGATCTTTTTGCCAAATGCATTTTCTTTCTCTATAATCAGTTAAAAGTCCTAACAATGTCATATATACAAGTTTTGACAGTATTGGATCATTATCATCAGTTAAGGCACCAAGTGCTTACTGTTTACGAAAAACTGAAATTATATCCTCTTGTGCTTTGGTAGAGATTGCTGCGCAGATTTTCGAGATATTCTGATTGAACTCATTAGGTCTCGTGGTAATCGAATAGCCATTCCAAAATTAAAGAATAAAAAATAAAAAATTAATTTATCAATAATTCCGTCAACCCTGAGTCCACAGAGCACACCCCCTCATGAATTCACCTAGTGAATATTTTGACAATTTTCCTCCTAAACCGCGTTATATGGACCTTGACTTGGGGACCATACCAGCAAACAACTTCATTTCATATTCTCAATCTCCCCCACCACCCCAAATTCTGTCCCTTGACTTTTATTTCTTATTTAGTGAACAAGTTGTGCACAACTGAAAATAAACAATTCATGATTTGGTTTTTAAGTTTGTGAAGGATTTAAGTCTAATTATTTCACTTGTCAAAATTGGTCAGTTCTATTAAATATCGAAGTACCTAAACCTACGTACCTCCAAATTTGAGAGAGAGAGAGAGATAGCTAGAGATGGGGAAGGTGAAGTTGGAACCTCAAGAATCCAAGAATACAATCAACCATTTCAGTCACCCTCACCCTTTAGAGCTAATCACGAATCAAAACTTTGCTTCATCTTCTTCACAGCTATGTTCAGGCTGCAAGATTCAAGCCATCGGATCAATCTACACATGCAAATCTTGCAATTTTTTCCTTCATACTGAATGTTCCCAAATGCCTCAGCAAATCACTCATCCATTTGACAAAGAACATCATTTCACTCTCCTCCCAAAACCCATTTACCCTGACGGGAAATTCAACTGTGATGCATGTGGGGAGAATGGAGATGGCTTCTCTTACCACTGCAAAACTTGTGGCACTGACCTTCACATACTATGTGCTGTTTTCCCACAATGTGTCACTCACTGGTCCCATCATCACCAGCTTGACCTTAAGTTTTCACCTCCTTATCCTGGTAAATCATTCTGTTGTGATATTTGCAAGAAAGTTGGAACCAATCACTGGCTTTATAGATGCCAAACTTGTGGTTTTGATGCTCATTTGAATTGTACAACGTTACAAGCTCCACCACATCAAAGTCATATCCATCAGAACCCAACTACAAGTAGATCTGCTCCTCAGCAGCAGCAACATTTTACCGGTAAAAATTTATTTGTATCTGATACTTTTGTCGCTCAAGTCCTTCCAAATTAACATACTAGTTTTTAATCTCTAAATAGGATTTTGTATTGGTTTGTGCTGCACTTTGACCCGTTGAGTTACACTCTTTGATCCGTTTTAAACCAATAATTTGATATGTCATTTCGCGTTCAACCCATTGAATCAAGTCAACTGACAGATCATAACCTAATCCAACCTAATCCATTTAAACTTGGACGAATTACTAACAAAGGCATACCTCACCATCTCTCATGCCTCCGAGTCACTCAGCACTCGACACTCGCACTCAATATATACCTGCGCTCACTGGGGGTGTGTACAGTTTCCGGAGGGGCTCCTACAACCCAGGGGCTATAATCTGCACGGACAACTCACGTGCCATAGTATTATATCAGAATCCGCACGGACAACTCACGTGCCATAATAAGCCAATAAGGCCTGCTGTAGGCAGGCAACCCCGATCCATATAATAGTAATAATATATATAAAGCCAACATGACCTGCTGCGGCGTGCAGCCCGATCCCAAAAATATCCTCACAATCAGGCCCTCGACCTCCCTCAGTCATCAATCTCTCCAGTCTCTCTCTCATGGGCTCACAATGTCATGAGAATAGACCCAAAAATGATGATATGATGTATCAATGAATAACAACAAAGACTGAGATATGATATGTAATGAAATGGATATGACTGAGTATGAATTTTTAATTTAAAAGAAATAATGCACAATAATATGACCTCTGTGGGTCCCAAAATACAGGCACATAGCCTAAACATAATTTTTAATATATTTTTCAGCTCAATTTCTTTAACACATAAAACTGCATGGGGAATGCCAAGATTATTTAACTTCAAGATTTCACAGAAATAATTATGTCACAATTTCTATAGTGCATGCCCACATGCCCGTCACCTAGCAGGTGCGTCACCTCCCAACAATTCACATAATACATATATTCAGGGTTTATACCCTCAGCTCCAAGATTAGATGAGTTACTTACCTAGAACAAGCCAAATCCAATGCCGAGCAAGGTAAACAATGCTCCAGAAATCCCATTCTGCACGTATCCATTGCCAAACGGCTCGAATCTAGTCACAATTAATTTGATTCAGCCCACGAAAATTATAGGAATTTATACCATATTAAAGTACTAATATTTTCCACAAAATCCGAAATTATGCTACAAAACTCACCTGTGGGCCACACATCTCGGAATCCGACGAAACTCACAAAATATGAGAACCCAACCAATTACAAGTTCAACCATACTAATTTCACTCAAACCCGACACCAAATTGGTATTCAAACATGAAAAATTCGTTTTGTGACATTATAGAAATTTTCTTCTATTTCTCTTGAAGATTCGATAATCTGACACCAAAAATGAAGATTAATTCATGAAATATAATCATAAGGGAGTCAACAATACTTACCCCAAGTTGTTTGGAAAAGTTCCTCTCCAACTTTGCCAAATCGAGCTCCAATATCCGAAAATGGGTGAAAATATGATAAAATGAAGGATCGTGAGAAGTTAGCAAAAATTATTGCTTTGGATTGTCTACCTTTTTCTTTTTCTTCTTCATCATTTCTTATTGTGTATATTCAAAGGATTTATAATCTTTTATTTAAAGGTATCCCCAGAAGTACTTGTAAATCTGATATCTTTAGACTTCATGAACAATATCAGACATACATACGTTATATGTCTGACCACCTTCCTTGTAGAGTTTCTCAAACTTCTAATATTGGCCATGTTGTTAATGAAAATGATTATTTGACGATTACATGTCATTGAATAGATGATAATTATTGTATGAAAAAATGTTTTATCGCTTTTAAATATGATGAAGATCAGAGTGATATTGCTATTTTTATAGGTACTACTATTTGCGAAGTTGTTACATTTTACAATCTTAATAAAAAATTATTGTGTATGTCTTTTGATAATGCTTCTAACAATAATATCACTATTTCAATATTAAAACTGTATTTGCAACCACCACTTGACGAAAATTTTCATGTTAGGTGTGCATGTCATGTTTATAATTTAATTGTTAAAAGATGCCTTGATTTATTTTCGAGTGAAATTACTCATATAAGAGTAGTCAGTGTTATTCAAGGAAATAATAGACAATCTAGAATTGGTAAGTTTAAGAATAAGTGTACCGAACATTACCTTAACCCCAGATTCATGCCAGATGAAATTGTTACTAGATGGAATTATACATACTTATTTTTAAGATGTTGCTACAAATATAGATTGCCTATAACTGAAGTTGCTAATGCGCATTGTACTGATCCAAACTATATGTTAACAACTAATATGTCACGACCCAAAATCCAACTAGTCATGATGGCACCTAACCCAACCCATTAGGTAAGCCAATTACCAACTATCCAATTCCAATAATAATTATTAAAGCAATTTAAGTAATTAAAGGTCTTAACCTTATACAATCCATAAGAACTGGTAGTACAAATTATGAGCTTCTAAGAATAGAGTTTACAAAGCGGAATGAAATAAATACATAGTCTGTTTGAATAGTACATAAACAGAAATTTTATAAATCTAAGGCTACCATGAACAAGAGGCAGCTACAACAGGAACGTAGGTACATCTTCAAATCTGGCAACCACCGAGCACAGCAACAACAATAGCCAATATCTGCATGTAATGTGCAGAAGTGTAGTATCAGTACAACCGACCCCATGTACTGAGTAAGTAACAAACCTGTCCTTAGGTTGAAAGTAGTGATGAGCTTCCACCAAGGTCGGGTTCAAAACCAATAGTCCACGACAGTCCATAACAACGTAGAGCAAATAATACAAGAAGTTACTCAGAAATAATATGCTCAGCTAAATCATGATTTCAAAAATAATAGTTCTTCCTTTCAAGTATATCAGTGAAAACCCAAATCGTTTGCCAAAGTTTCCAAAAACATGAATAAGTTTGAAAACAATAACTTTTTCCCAAAATCCTTTCAATAATAAATGAGATGTTTCATTTTCTTTACAGATAACCCGTGTAAAAACAAATGCATCACTATGCCCATCTGTCAAAAAATATGTGAGAAATCATGAATGATGCGATGCTGTACAGCATGAGGAAAAATACATCTCTATGCGTGTATGCCAATGCGATGCAACTCAGTGATAAAATCACAAACATCCCATCGGGCAGACCTCACAATCACTCGTATACAGCCCCTCGGGCTTACCTCACAATCACTCGTATACAGCCCCTCGGGCTTACCTCACAATCACTCGTATACAGCCCCTCGGGCTTACCTCACAATCACTCGTAAACAGCCCCTCGGGGATACCACACCATCTCTCATGCCTCCCAGTCACTCAGCAGTCGGCACTCGGCACTCGCACTCAGTAGGTACCTACGCTCACTGGGGTGTGTAGAGTCTCCGGAGGGGCTCCTACAGCCCAAGTGCTATAATCTGCACGGACAACTCAGATGCTATAGTATCATATAAGAATCCGCACGGACAACTCACGTGCCATAATAAGCCAATAAGGCCTGCTGCAGGCGGGCAGCCCCGGTCCATATAATAGTAATAATATATATAAAGCCAACATGGCCTGCTGCGACGTGCAGCCCGGTCCCAAAAATATCCTCACAATTAGGCCCTTGGCCTCCCTTAGTCATCAATCTCTCCAGTCTCTCTCTCATGGGCTCACAGTGTCATGAGAATAGCCCAAAATTGATGATATGATGTATCAATGAATAACTACAAAGACTGATATATGATATGTAATGAAATGGATATGACTGAGTATGGATTTTCAATTTAAAACAAATAATTCATAATAATATGACCTTTATGGGTCCCAAAATACTGGCACATAGCCTCAACATAATTTTTAATATGCTTTTAAGCTCAATTTTTTTAACACATAAAACCGCATAAGGAATGCCAAGATTATTTAATAACAAGATTCCACAGAAATAATTATATCACAATTTCTATAGTGCACGCCCACACGCCCGTCACCTAGCATGTGCGTCACTTCCCAACAATTCACATAATACATATATTCTGGGTTCATACCCTCAGCTCCACGATTAGAAGATTTACTTACCTCGAACAAGCCAAATCCAATGCCGAGCAAGTTAAACAATGCTCCAGAAATCTCATTCTGCGTGTATCCACTTCTAAACGGCTCGCATCTAGCCACAATTAATTTGATTCAGCCCACGAAAATTATAGGAATTTATACCATATCAAAATACTAATATTTTCCATAAAATCCGAAATTACACTACAAAAATCATCCATGTGGCCCACGTCTCGGAATCCAACGAAACTCACAAAATATGACAACCCATCCAATTATAAGTTCAACCATACTAATTTCACTCAAATCCGACTCCAAATCGGTATTCAAACTTGAAAAATTCATTTTGTAACATTATAGAAATTTCCTTATATTTATCTTGAAGATTCGATAATCTTATATCAAAAATGAATATTAATTCATGAAATATAATCACAAGGGAGTCAAGAATATTTACCCCAAGTTGTGTGGAAAGATTCCTCTCCAAAATCGTCCAAACCGAGCTCCAAAATCCGCAAATGGGTGAAAATTACGAAACCTCGAATTTAAAGGGTTCTGCCCAGTAAATCCGCATCTGCGGATAATATTTGCGTACCTGCGCCTCCGCATGTGCGAACAAAACGCCGCATGTGCGAACTTTACTCGCCTGCCCATTTGTCGCTTCTGCGCGCATCCTCCCGCATCTGCGCTCACGTAGGTGCGGAATTTTCCCTCGCTCCTGCGACCAATGCCTCCTAACCCTCTGCCCGCATCTGCGCTCCTTCTCACGCAGGTGCGATTCCGCACCTGCAAAGCTCCTTCCGCACCTGCGTACCTCGCTTCAGTGCACCCCTGCTCGCACTTGCGACTACTATTTCGCAGGTGCGATTACACCAGAAGGCTTCAGTTCTAGCAGTCTTCCTAATTGAAA